TGAAATGGCCACAGTCTGCAGCAGGAAATCCAGGCAGCAGCATCTCCTGTTTATTATGATTGCATAGAATGAACGGGGCAAGGAGTTGGGTTTCACCTTGAATAATAAACTTAATGCTAGTCATGTTGTTTTATGAGAGTTTAAACTACTTCAGGTACCCTTCCACAGGAGGGGAGCATGTAGCAGGTGGCTGGAACTATGAAAAAAGCACATGAGGTATCATGAGTGTCTTTGTGACCCCAGGCTGAGAGCCCGGGCTAGAGGAGGGGCTTTACAGTGAGAAACATCTGCTGAGGATCTCATTCGTCCCTCTTCCTGCAGCCCCACAAGAGCCCTTCTCTGGATGTAAGTCAGCATCTGGATCCTAATAAAGATGAGATCAGCACGGGTCTGCCTGGGAACGTGAAGGATCTTCCCTGGGGGATGAAGTTTGACATTCCCTCCATCACCCTTGAGTCAGACAGGTAATGGGAATCTTTCTCATTATTAGACTTATTCTCTAGGGCACGGGGACCTGGCACCTCCCAGCTAGGTCCCCAAAGCTGGGAGATATCAAACTGGAAGAACCTTTAGAAACTGGAATCTGTCAGAAAAAGAGTTTCCTGGTATACTGCTCTCACAAAGCAGATCTGTGTTTTAGCAGGAACCTTCTCTGCAGAGCAGGCTATGGGAGATGTTTGGATTTACTCCTGTTGACTGGCAAGCATTTAAATCAAATAAAGTAGCAAAGTTTGTGAAGGTCATGGGACAAAAACTCCCTTTGTCGTGAATCCTGAAGTCCTTCCTTGCTGCATTCTTTATTATCATGTTCACCATGCTTCTGGCTTTCCCCACAGCTTGAGAGCTCTCATCTAGACATGTTTCACCTCTCTCTGTTGATAAAGGGCCTGTGCTTTCATCCGTTAATCTCTTGGCGTATCCTTTTCACAGTGACAGTTGCATATCATCTAAAACGACACCCTGGAGGAAGGAGGGGTCTCTGGATACCCATCTCAGCCCAACTTTCTCTCAGCAGGTCAGTATAGCAGGAACTTTTAATTCAAGGCACATTTGTCGTGGATAGCACCTTCCTCTTGTGATGACAGACCATGCACAGGAGCTAAATCAATTGTATGTGAGGAAGGTAAGCCTTGGCAGGCTGTAAAATCACTCCTAGAGCACTGGCCTTGGATTTAAAGCCTGGGATTTACTTAAGAGGCCAAGGCGCTCTTGCTCTGTGTGAATCACCTGGGCTCCAGTGTGTCCAGTGGAGTGATGGGAGTTGTAAATAGAGATGCACCATGCAACCTGGTGTGAGGGGGCCTGCGTTGTCCAGGATGATCACCTCCTTTTATGCCATTAACTGATCTGCTGGGCACAGATTTGATGAATATCTGGTGAGACCGATTTCAGTCAGTACTCTGGAACAGGAGGGAGTTAGGAGCTCATCAGTCTCTTGCTCACCAGCTGACTCATTTTTGTAGCCATGCCTCTATATGGGAGATATACAAGAAGCTTTGCCTTTGTTTCTTGTTTCATAGAAGTTGTTATAAAAATATCTGAGCTGAAATTTAATGTCTTCTAAATGTTTGAAAGTGCTTTGAAGGGGAAAAGTATAAAAGCTTTGAATGAAAAGCAGATCATGATGCCAATTGCTTTGATTTTTCAGCAGAAACCAACAGGTGTTGCTGCAAGAAAGATGACTTCCAGGCTGCGTTCACCCACCTCTCTAGACCTGCATGGGAAAAAGTCAGCTGCGGACACTGCTGCTGTTCCACTGAGTCCGGAGACCTTGAAGGAAATTTCTGCCAACACCAAAAACATCTCTCTCATTGCAGTCAGTCGGCGTTCCAGAGCCCAACACAGAGACCTTGGGAGCAAAGTCTCCTCAGCCCACTCCTCTGAGGAGGAGATGCTTGAGCTGAAGTATCTAGAGGCCAATTCCACCCCAGAGTGTCACAAGAGAGACAGTGCAAGTACCAGGAGTTTGCTGTCGGAGCCTGCAGTGAGGAGTCAGCTGTGCTCCCTGGCCAGGGGAGTGCTGAAGAACAGGAGAGACCAGGAGAGGACAGTTAGAGAAAAAAGATCTCGCTCTCTTGAACCAAACTTCCACAGGGCAGGCCCTTTGTGTTCCTTTCTAAAGGGGATGGGTTGAGCAGAAGATTCAGTGGAGCTAGGGTGCTTTTTAAATACAGTAAGAGAAACATAGTACAAACTGCATGAGGAAATAAGTTAAATATCTTTAGTCTTCTATAATGCCACTGAGCTCCTGCCTAACCAGCAAGCCGAGCCAGTCAGGTGGGAAGGGAATCTTTCTGGTACAACGTGGCAATTATCAGAGGTGAGAAATGTCACTGCTGAGGTTAACTCACCTTGGTGTCTTTCAGACCTCGAAAACTAAGCAGCGGACTCCCTCAAGCCCCAATATAGACAAAGCCTATGAGAACCACCTGCGCCAAGCCAGACTCTTCCATCAGTCAAAAGCTGCGAGTAGCATATGCATTGCTGCAAAGATCAAGGTTCCTATCGGCTACCACTCAGGTAGGGGCCAAAGAGCCGCTGGTGGCATCCTGCATCAACTCTGTTGGAAAAGACGGATTGTCATGTGAGAAATAAGCCAGAGTAAAGGCTAATGATCAGAACTATTAGTAATCCAATTTTAATTTTTTTATATGGTCTAAGTAGCTTTTGATGGGTAAGAAAGCATAGCGTATCCTTTGCAGACCACTGCCTCAACTATGCCTCTGTAACCTAGGGGGAAGAATTAGTGCTCTGCTAGGTTCACATGCAACAAGTTGCTGATCTTGGTCCAGTCGTTCAGCTTCACATCCAGCCCAAGCCTCAGCAAGGAGCCCAAGACGTGACAGGCTACGCTGACCATCTGTCAGCTTTGCTTGTGTTGTCTTACGCAGACCCAGGCGGCCAGGATTAGTTTAGGGGAACTGCATACCCAAATCCTGTTGAAACCAAGCCAGAATCCTTCCTCATTCTGGCAAGGGGTGTTTACTGATGCTAATTAGTTTTTCTTACATATTTTTTAAATTTTAAAAAATAGTTAACTTTTGATTTATAATGCTACAATTTATTTTGGCTAGCTATTACAAACTCATGCACTGCAAAATGTTTTTAAACTGTGTTCTGCTCCCGTGGTATATAACAAAGCTCTCCATGTCTCTGATAGCGGGGACTCCACTAGAGATGCTGCCAAAAGACAACGCTCCTGCAAGCACCATCCAGCAAAACATTGCTGATCGTGTCAAAGGACGGGTCCTACAGAAGCAAGTCAAGGGTGAGAACATGAAGTATCAGGTTAGCTGGCTCAGGAGGCACTACTACATTCTTCAGCACTTGCTCTGTTGCAATCTGAACCTAAAGAGCTGTAAATGCAACACAAAACGGTCCAGTTGGGAAAGCAGCCACATGGGTAGGGGTTTACGGCCAAGTTTTAAGCTTTTTTTTTTTTTTTTTTCTTTCACAACATGACTTGGGCAATGTTCCAGAATGAGTTACACTCCATCTCCCTCTTAGCCAAAAATAACCTCTTAGGAAGAGAAAATAACATTTTCAGAGGTGTTCATAATCTCAGTCTAATCCATATGTGAAGTACCAAGTTTAATCTGAGTTAGCCATGTGACAACATATTGCTTCCACTCAAAGTGTCACCTTGGGATTTTCTTAAGGCAACAATGTGCAGATCCTAGTGCCTTTGGCAAACTCTTCCCTCCACAGCCCGTGGCAATCTGTCTCTTCCCTATTTTGACTGGCAATGAGACTCAAACCGAAGCATAAGCAACTTGACAAGTACTTCATCTTCCCTCACTTACAGGGCCTGCAGATGATGCCAGCAGTCGGCAAAAGCAGCAGTCAGTACCCCACTTGGTCAACCACCCAAAGACTAAATAGAACTCACCGGGGGAGCAGGACTTTCTTTGGCCCCAAGGGATTGCAATTTCAAGACTGCCGGAAGTCGGGGAAGCGGATGCAGGGGGAGTGTGCCTTAAAAGCTTCAGTGTTGCAGTGCTGAAAAGCAGAGGGAAAGCTAACAGCCGGGAGAGGGACCTTACACATTGTATAGAACTTTTTCCATATCCCTACTGCAAGTCCTTCCTCTGTTCTGCATGCTCTAGCTGTTAGCTTCAGCTTAAGACAAATAGGGAGTTAACAGAGTCCAAGAGAAGAGGAAAACCTCATCTTCCCAGCAGTCTTCTCCTCCCAGAAGATGTCAGCATGGAGCCCAAGCCGCCTTTTTTCCTGGGGCAAAAGTGTGGATGCCACCCATGCATCCAAAAGGCTCCCTGACTATTAAAACCAAATGTGAATGCCTGAGAAATAGTCTCGCCTTTCTTCCCTGCTGTCCCTGTATGTTGCTGTGAAGCTGGGAGGTGTAACGCACGCCTGGAATGCTGTTTGGGTGAGCAGATGTTTGGCTGTGAGAGCAGCCAGAGATTGCTCTAAGTTCTTTTCCATCTATAGAGCATTTCAGATCAGACTGCAGCTGAGATAAGCATCATGGTGATAGGTGAAGACCCTGATAAGAGCTAGCATGGAAGTAAACAGCGGGAATGTGTTTTTCTTTTTGGAAAAATTGTCTCCAGCCAGCAGACTTTTCCACAGGGGGCTTTTAAAAAGCCAGGAAAATACTTTTAAAGTATGCTGTGAATAAATTGGTTCTGGTCATACTACTGAACAAATAGTGACTCCATGGCCCAGGCAGGGGCGGCTTCCCTCCTAGGTCTGCTAAGTATCCAAGGTGACAATCGCAGGTGCATTCACACATTTTTCAAATGGATAAAGAACCTTTTTTTTTTTACAGCTGCAGCACTTGCAAAGAATTCTGCCTATGCGCTCTTTCTGACTTGCTGTGTGACACTGGGTGCACTCCCTGTCCCCCTCTGCCTCTTGCTTTGCTACCTGTCAAGACGAGGAGGGATAGCTCACACTCAGGGATGAGGAAGCTTAAATTACTTGTACTAATAAAATGCCATGAACCCCTGAAGTGGGGATGCAATGCAAGTGTGTAAGATGGCATCAGCAAGCAGGCAATTTTCCTTATGAAACAGAGGCAGGAAAAGGTGTGATTGCGAAGTAGGAAGGTCAGGAAAACTTGTTCCAGAGGGCTATTTCACATAAACAAAGATAAAAAAAGGACACACAGATAAAATAAGCACAGACTGTGTGTAAAACAAACCTGTGCCAGCAGGTCTTGAGCCAAGGCTCCATTGCTGACCTGCAAGCACTGAAGGACCAAAAGTTAAGGGAAAACGGAGCTTTCCAAGCATATACTTCTCTGCTAAATACCTTTGGGCTGAATCACCATGAAAAATTGCAGTATTCAGAACTATTTCATGCAGAGTGGGACATTTGAGCCAAATATATTGGTTTGAGGTTGCATCTCTGAAGGGAGGTTGTGTAACAAAGAGTTTGATAATTTGCCACGACAGTTTTGAAGAGCACTGAGCCCCATGATGTGCTGAGTTCCCTGTTTTTAAAACCTACATTTTGTTAATATAGAAGTTGGGGATTGAGATCTCAGAGGTAGAATCTGTAAATTGTCATTTCAGCTTTCAGAATTGCTGGAACTGAGCTGCAGCCCATATCTTCCACAAAGCAGGACCATGCTTGGTTTCAGTGCTGGGCTAACAGCTTTTTGATTTCTTGATCACAAATGGTAAGAGCAGCAAAGGGAGCTTAAACTCTTCTGGGCTTTTCAAGCAGCATTTTCTAGCCTTGTTGTATCCAGTTATCCATACTTTGCTCCTAATAACGACTGCTGGGTTAGAACCCAACAGGCTGGGATTTCTTCCACAAAACAGCATGAAACTGGCTACATCTGACTGTGAGCTCTAGCAAGACACGATGCTGGGTCTTGGGATGCTGCGTCCACCATGGCATCCATGGCTGGCTCTTCCTATTCCCCATCGTGCCCCGGAGGGGGGCTTCCTACCCTGCAGCCCCCGAGCCCCCAATCTGCAGGGACATTAAATACCCCCACTGGGTTACGGTGCGGCACGAGTCCTCCACCCAACCTGTAACCGGTTTAAAAATGAGCTTCAGGTTTAACTTTCCTTGTGTAATTGCTGGAAGGGGGGCTTGGCCGTGCAGGCCCATTTCAGAGAGCTCTGAGGAGAGTCATCTCTGCAGCATCTGCTACCCCTGCTTTTCCACAGCGGTCTCGGTCGCGCTCC